CTAGCTCTAGAACTAGAACAACTAGCTATAAAACTAGAACAAGTAGCTCTGGAACTAGAACAACTAGCTCTAGAACTAGAACAACTAGCTATAAAACTAGAACAAGTAGCTCTGGAACTAGAACAACTAGCTCTAGAACTAGAACAACTAGCTATAAAACTAGAACAAGTAGCTCTGGAACTAGAACAACTAGCTCTAGAACTAGAACAACTAGCTATAAAACTAGAACAAGTAGCTCTGGAACTAGAATTAACAAGTAGTAGTAGAACTAGAACAACTAGCTACAGTACTAGAACAAGTAGCACTAGAACTAGAACAACTAGCTACAGTACTAGAACAAGTATCTAGAGAACTAGAACAAGTAGCTAGAGAACTAGAACAACTAGCTCTGGAACTAGAACAAGTAGCACTAGAACTAGAACATCTAGGTCTGGAACTAGAGCAAGTAGCACCCTGATTGTAATCTCATGCATGTGCGTTCACGATTGAAATTCTTTCAAATAAATATACTCCAACTAAAACGCCCGAGATTTCTCTTTATATATGATGTTGATTATTCAAAGGCTATCACCAATACTTTTCTGAAAAATCATCAAAGAAATTGTAACATACACTGTTAAGAAGTTTGCAGTAGATCATTGGTAGTTTGGGTTGTTGTTGAGGACTCGTTGTTGTCTGGCGGTGTTGACATTAACACTGACCTTGACCAAGACCTCGTCCAATGTCATGGCCTTGAGCTCAAGGGAATGGCCTTGACCTACTTTTTTTATTTTTAAAAGTTTTTCACAAGGTCATGACCTGGAGCTCAAGGCCATGGCCTTGACCAACTTTTTCAAGTTTTAAAAGTTTTACATTAGTAGGCCAAGGCCATAGCCTTGAGATCAAGGCCATGGCCTTCACCACTTTCAAAATATTTACATTATCAGGGGAGGATCCTTGCCAAAGGGCAAGGTCCAATGTATGTTTACATTTCTTCAAACGGCAGTCTGAAAATATTTGACTTTGGTAATTGCCTGGATTTGAACACAGAATTATTGAATACAAGCCTGTTACGCTACGGACGGACCCAAATGTACCATTCCTAACAAGCTCAGCTCAGATGTATGTGTTATATTTAGCTTAACAGCAGATAGAAAATATTTTACTACGGTAATTGATAAGATTCGAACCCTGGACTACTGAGTAGCAATCTAACACTCTACGCACACACCCAAACTTCCCATTCGTGTTTTGTTCAGATCGTATGTGTGTATTATGTTTTCGTTTTATAAAAAGAAGAAAAACTAAATATTGACTTTTGCCCAACCTCGGATATCATTACTTGTTTTGTTTTTACCACTGCTTGGAAAGTAGGTATTTTTACGAATACATTGCGTTTCAGGGGCATTTGGTTCTCCTTATATGATATATATAATGTATTACATTATCTTTATATTATTCTTTATTATTATGGACAAAATAATGGCTATTTTCCAAAGTGCGCATCGTCAAATGGTTTCTAGCGAAAAAGATGGTTCTAGCGTTTCAGCGTTCTAGCGTTCTGGTCTCGACGTTCTAGCGAAAAACGATCGTTATAAAATCAATGGGAAAAAATTTATGTTATTTATACAGTTTCTAATCATTCTTCGATGTAGGTGACGTGGGATACGTAGATGAGGATGAATGTTTATACATTGTAGACAGGATTAAGGAACTAATCAAGTATAAAGCCTATCAGGTGAGTTGCCATTCATGCATAACGCCTGTTTGCACGTTGTTTTCTATGAGGCAAGGTCATAATGAAACATGCAGTGTTTATACGTTTTTTTTCTATCGTTTTTTTTTCTATTGCATTTGCTTATATTTGCAACGTATATGTAGTTTTATATTTGCCTCGTATATGTTTTTTTTTATCAAGCAGCAGATTAATATGCTTCAAGTAATTTGGTTCAAAAAAGAGTAATTTTGTTGTTTGCTGCGTAGATGCACACATGCATGCGATCTCTGCAATGTATCGAAAATAATAAAAATCGTTGCGATGCGTGACTGTAGGTGGCGCCAGCTGAGCTGGAGGCGAAGCTGCTACAGCATCCTAGCGTGGCAGACGCGGCCGTCATCGGCGTCCCGGACGAGGAAGCCGTAGAACACCCCAAGGCGTACGTCGTGCGCAGCGACCAGCACCTCCTGGCAGAGGATCTGCACAGCTACCTGCGAGAGCACGTGGCGCCGCAGAAGCGTCTGCGAGGAGGCATCGAGTTTGTCAGCGAGATTCCCAAGTCGGCATCCGGAAAGATTCTGAGGCGACATCTCTGCGCGAGAAACAAGAAGCTGTTGCGTTTGTGAAGCGGCCATGTTGTTTGTACGGATGCATCGGGAAGGAAATTGTATTTCCACGATACAATTCTTAGAAGCTAACAATAAGGCACAAAGTTATATGAGGTTTGCAAAGTAAACTAATTACGTTTTATACGTGCACTTGTCTGTAATTTTCTCTGATGTAAAGGTATTATCGTCGACGAAAGTATAGTCTTTCACTTACACTATTAATATTTTATTGTTTCACTGTAAGTTTAACTTAGTGCAGTAGTTTCATGCAGTATTCTTTTAGTCTTACATACATGACGTTAATTATGAAAATGGTAAAAAAATATTATTAAATTAGAATAGCTCAATTATGAATAAACATACTGGAAAATTAGTCATAGTTTATTTGTCATCTAAAGTGGAAATTTAATCATCGGCTATGAGAAGTGCATTTTGCATAAAGGTAACAAAAAAGACAGCAATAGAGCTATAATATACGCAGCCTTATGTGAATGAGAAATCATCTCTCATTTGTGTGCTCCTAATAATAGAACAAAAACCAGGCAGCTAGAACTGCTGCTAGATGGTTATAATATAAGTGCTGTTCCGACGCCGTTGTAAAACTGTTTAACGTCTATGATGCCATGATGGCTCAAATGGATAGAAGTTACGGCTGTATGCGTGTGCGTGCGTTCGTGCGTGCTACGCTCGTACGTGCGTGTGTGTGCGTGTGTGTGCGCGTGTGTGCGTGCGCGCTGCGCTCGTACGTGCGTGTGTGCGAGCATTTGTGTGCGTGTGTGTGCGTGTGTGTGTGCGCGCGTGCGTGCGCGCGGCGCTCGTGCGTGCGTGTGTGTGAGCGCGTGTGTGCGCCCGTGTGTGCGTGTGTGTGCACGCTGCGCGCGTACGTGTGTGTGTGTGTGAGCGTGTGTGTGCGTCCGTGCCCGTGTGTGTGTGTGTGCGTGCGTGTGCGTGTGTGCGCGTGCGCTCGTACGTGCGTGTGTGTGTGCGTGTGTGTATCCGTGCGCACGCGTTTGTGTGTGTGCGCGTGTGTGTGCATGCGCACGCGTGTGCGAGTGTTGTCTACAGTGGATACTAAATGCGCGTGTGATGTGTATTACATGCAAAGAAGCCGCTTGGTCACATGACGTTCTCACGTGACCGCTGAAGCTGTGAATTTGTGTGTGTTGACTCTGGCGTGGCATTTCTCGAGCAGCCATTATCTGACAATGTTGTCTGTGATTTTATATTCACGGTTATTTCTGTTGCGCGCACACACGGAATTTGAGGGACAAATAATTTTGTAAGTATGGTATTAGTAGTATATAGTAGTAGTATGTAAAAGTTGTATCTATATTTGCCATTCCATTACATTAGTTTGTATTAGTATTAGTTTGGAACAGCGCAATCCTGAAGTAGTAATATATTATATATGATTATGTGTATATGTATAGGTTCTAGAATAGCCACCTGATCATTACTCCCGTACAATTACCCTCCCCTCACTGACCCCCAGACAATCACCACCTGACTATTACCACCGTACAATTCCCCCCTCGCACAATAACCACCGGACAACTAACTCCCGTTCAATTACGCTCCTTCCCCGAACAATTCACCCCAGGCAATCATTTCCTGGACAATAAAATTAAACCCCACGTAGAATTACCCCCACCCGAACAATTTTCCCGGACAATTTCCATGGTATTAAATTTATTCTAAAACTGCTTATACTTTTGGTCGATGCTTTCTAAGTAGGCCTTTATCAAGGTTATATTAAATATTAAGCTATGTCAAATAAGAAATTGTATTTCAAAATACTGAAATAATTTACGATCATGCAACTGAAATCTGTTGGACAGCGTGACATGAAATTTCTATCTACGGTAGGAGAGTGCAGGATGGGGAGAGGTGAAAGGAGGATAAGACTGATGAAGAGCGAAGTAAGTGTTATTCGCGGTAGATAAGGAAGGATGTGAGCGGCCGAGAAAGTGGAAGAGGCGAAGCAGAAAAATGGCTGTGAGAGAATAAGGTGGAGGACCTTATAGGATTTATGCCTGCAGCATAACAATCGTCTTACTCCACACTGCGCTTATTGTGTGGTATTAGTACGAGGTCATATAGCATACGCGCACGCACGCCACGCACGCACGCACGCACGCACGCACGCACACACACACACACACACACACATATATATATAATTATTGTCTCATTAGGTAATTAATCAATAATTAATCATTAATCAATAATTAGGTTAACAATCAATGGCTTGCGGTGCCATAGAGAAATAATATAAATAATTACCTGTACCTCCCTCTTTCTCTCTCTCTCTCTCTCTCTCTCTCTCTCTATATATATATATATATATATTATATATATATATGTATATATATAAATAGAGAGAGAGCGAGCGAGCGAGAGGGGAGAGATAGAGAGATTAATATCAACATATATCAATAATTATCAATATAGAAACTGCAGAGAAGTTTATTTAATCGTGTTGTATTTTGACATTGTTTCTTGTACTGTTTTTCGCATCATGCAACACCCTAAAATCGGTAAAAAAAACACCATACCTGCTTCTCTATGGTTCCTGTAACATTACACTGTAAGGGCAGATGGGGCCTACCTCAGTTATATGCAATCCTAACTGAACTTAATTAGATTATGCATCAATATTTTCTAGTCGAGAATCTAATAAACCTCGAATATTCACGTTTCGTAAATGTGCTTTTAAGCTTACATGTTCGAATAATTTAAAAATCTTGTTACTTGTTATATCAAGTACCTAATCGATCGTTTCATATGTTTCCTCATTGTTATTGATATAAAAATCTTTCCAGCAGGAATTTTTGTCTAGGAGCAACCTGTCAAATCACAGCGTCGCCTATCGTCACAGCACACGACGCTCCCTGGTGGGACCATGACTCTCTTTAACAAGCTTAGCGCACCCCGGTGCGACCATGGCTCTCTATATCAAGCTTAGCGCCCCTGGTGAGACCGCACCATTCTATATGAAGCCAGAATCCCGAGATGTAGTGCGAGGATCTCTTCTACACCCTGGTCACTCCTACTCATTATATTATCGATCACTTATTTACATGTTAGATGTTTCCTTATATATATATATTTATTTAATATAATTAATAATATTGATATG